ATTGGCTGAAACAGCTGCTGTCAATCACAGCTAGTCATCCAATAAGCAGAGAGAAGGGGGTGGGACCAAGCCATGGCTCCACATGTGAATGGACACACGGAGCAGCTAGTGTCCCCATAGCAAGCTGCTTGCTATGGGGCACCCGACAGAAAGGAGGTGCCAGGAGAGCCTGTGGAGGACCCGAGAAGAGGAGGATCCAGGCTGCTCTGTGCAAAACCACTCTACAAAGCAGGCAAGTATAGACATGTTTATTATTTAACAGAAAAAAAAAAAAAAGAACCCTTAGATCGTTTTAACACACCAAAGGGGACAGCTCTTAAAAATGGATGTGATGGTAATTCTTCCCATCAGGGTTGAACGTGCACACACACACAGTTATTTAAAGATAATTTAAAATCAGATGTTTACCAGATCCTCTGGTGTTATTTTCATTCCTTTTAAAAAAAAAAAATAGAAGGAATTTTAAGCTGTGTATGTAAATTAGTAAATTTTCCAACATAAAAGACACACAGCTTATTTCTTGAACCGTATAAAATTCTGATTCATTGACAGATGCCTGAGCATTACTTGCCCTAGGTATCTCCTATATACACTGTGTGTACAATTATAAGGGAAGTTGTATTTTTTGAGGATTCATTCATTATTGAACAACTACAGTGTTCTCGATCAATCCCAAATGTTAATAAACCTCAAACCTGAATATTTAAGAGTAAAAAAGTGAGGTTTTGGCTTTCTTAGGAGAATATCTATGCGTGCACAATTATTGGGCAACTATTAGTGTGCAGAATTATGCAACTAAATGAAAAAAACACAAATTTTCCCATCTCACTTATTTTCATATGTTAAAGCGAGAGTAATAAACAACTCAAAATACCAATAAACATTTCTGACATTTCAAAAAAATAAATCAGTGACTAATATAGCCACCCTTTTTTTCAATAACAGTCATAAGCCTGTCAGTTTCTTGATCTGTTGGCGATCAACTTTTTGTGCAGCAGCAACCACGTTTTTTTTGTTTTTTTTTTTGAGGTTAGCCTTTTAGGTATGTAGCCTATTTTCTTTTTTTCTTGGCTATTTCTTCATATGCCTTAGGTAGCACCCTTCCAGACTCCTTTGGAGGCACCTAATTTTTTCTTTTATTTCTGGTGGACTTCTCTGCTTTCCTCTGCTCCCGGATTTCCTCTGCTCCCCCCGCCCTATTTTATATATGCAACCACAGAATCCCAGACACTGTTCAGAAAGACGTATAGTTTTATTCACCGTAAATCTCCCATTTAAGAAGGGCCCACAAGTCCTCAATAGGGTTTAGGTTAGGTGAGGAAGGGGGCCATGTCATTCTTTCATCTTTAAGGGCTTTACTGGCTAGCCACGCAGTGGGGTACGTTGATGAATGCAATGGAGCATTGTCCTGCATAAACATCATGGTCTTGAGAGATGCAAACTTTTTCCTGTACCACTGCATGAAGAAAGTGTCTTCTAAAAACTGGCAGTAGGTTTGGGAGTTGATTTTGAGTCCATCTTCAACCCAAAAAGGTCCACTTAGCTCATCTTTAATATTACCAGAACATACCAGTATCCCACCTCCACCTTGCTGGCATCTTTGTCGAAGTGGAGCTCTTTGCCCTTTACTGATCCAGCCATGGGCCCATCCATCTGGTTCATCAAGAGTCACTCATCTTATCAGTCAATAAAACCTTTGAAAAATCAGTTTTCAGATATTTCTTGAGGTTTCATAACTGAACACCCTGTACTTCTAGGCACTCCAGGTAGGTTGCAGTTCTGGAATATGACAGCAATTTTTGACTTTTCAGAGTCAGTTAAATCTAACCCATTTTGCCTGAGGAAAAGAAGCTGCCTAATAATTATGCACACCTTGATATAGGGGGTGTTGATCTCCGTAGGTCACACCCTCCCTCATTACACAAATATACATCACCTAATATGTTTAAATCCAATAAGCATTCAAGTTTATACAGCTTGGAGTTGGACAATATGCATTAAAAAGGATGATTTGGTCAAAATACTCACTTACCTAATAATTGTGCACACAGTGTAAAAGTAAATAGCAATAGTGTACAAGGTGTACAATTGACACATACAAAAATGGAGGTAGGAAACTGAATGCTGGACTCAGGTGGCCACAGTTGCTCACAAAGGTTGGGGTAATAGCATGGCTGCTATGAGCACAGTATACGTTGGTATAAAGTCTAGCAACAGAAATAAGCCATCCAGTAGAAGGCAGGAAAAGCAGAGCTTGCGCCTTGATTAGTCAAGCTGTGTTTACTGCACTTGTAGAACATATTTCTGGCGAGTTTGCAATTCACTGGGTTTTCGGTGAAAGCCCACACACTGGCAGATATGATGCAGATTGGATTGGATGGTGGAAGACATTTCATGTTTCTTTATCCAAAACACTTTTTCACCATAAACTTGTTTTATATATGTGTTTTGTGATCCTATTAGAGTATAGTGGCACTCATATATTGCAATTATCTTTTTTTCAAGCTGGATTTAGTTGGCTTAATTTCACATATTGCTTCATTTAGTTACTTATTCATTCATACACATTTATTTTGGTGGTGCTGCAATTATTTATTTATACATTGTGTATGCTTTGTGTGATACATAGGACCGGGGGGTAGAAACTAAACCTGCTTGAAATGAATATAAACATTTATTGCAGAATATTTGGTCTCTTCTTGGCCTTTATTACTGTATATAAATTCTGCCAGTATATACAACCCCAATTCGAAAAAAGGTGGGACGCTGTGTAAAATCAACATCAAAACAGAATGCAATGATTTGCAAATCTCATACACCTATACTTTATTCACAATAGAAAACATATCAAATGTTTAAACTGAGAAAATGTACCATTTTAAGAAAAAAAAAAAAGGGTAATTTTGAAATTGATGACAGCAACACGTCTCAAAAAAGTTGGGCCAGGGCAGTGTTTGCCACAGCATAGCCTCCCCTCTTCTTTAAACAACACTCTGTAAACATCTGGGAAGAAGAGGCGACCAGTTGCTGGAGTTTTGGAACAGGAATGTTGTGTCATTCTTTCCTGATATTTTCAATTGATGGCGCCCAATTTATATTTCAATGTTTTTAATAAAGGTTTTCAACAGTGCATATAATTTGTTCCATATATGTTGCAGGTACAAATGGAATGAAGAACAAATACAGAAACAGAAATAAACATCTTCCACATATAGGGAGAGGAATGCATTATACAATTATTGACAATAGTTTTGTTCTTAGAGCATGCACTTTGTGAACAGGTCACATTAACAAAGCTTCCCAATTTATACGCACCAATGCAACCCCATTAGAGATGCAGGCTTTTTAACTGAACACTGATAAGCCAGAAGGTCCCTCTTCACTTTAGTCCAGAGGATGCAGTGCACATGGTTGCCAAAAAGAAAGTAAACTTTCAATTTGTCTGAACAAAGAACAGTTTTCCACTTTGCTACAGACCATTTAAATGATCTCTGACCCAGAGAAGATGGCAGAGTTTCTGGATAAATGTTCAGATATGGCTTATTCTTTGCATGGTGGCGCTTTAACTTGCATTTTTGGATGGCAAGGCAAACTGTGTTCACAGACAGTAATTTTTTGGAAGTATTCCTGAGCCTATGCAGTGATGGCCAGTGACTTATATCTAGAGACTTTCTCTATGACTGGTGCTGTGTTACTCCCTCCACCCTGACCACCCCTGTGTCAATGTAATCAATGAGTGGTGTGGCTTGACCTACTACTATCTAGTCGGGTGAGGTAGCCATGCGACACCAGCATTAGATCTGAGGAAGGGGGCTAGTTTCCGCAGAAACGCGTCAGCTGGCTTTGTCATCCATTCACCTGCTGGGATGGAATAGCAGACGAATGTACTTTGTGCTTGTGTACACATGCTTTCAGCCTACTGGGCTTGTGAGTATAATTTTAATTGTTTTTAGAATAATGTTCCTCAAGATAATGCACTAGGCATTTGCGCCCTTCTTTGTTTTACATTGATAACAATATTCTGAAATTGTTCAACAATTTTTAGATGCAGCTTTGCACAGATTGGTGAACCTCTGCCCACCTTTATTTCTGAGACATTGGCTCTCTAAGATGCTCTTTTTATACCCAATCATGTTACTGACCAGTTCCCAATTAACCTAACTAGTTGCAAAATGTTCCTCCAGGCTTTTCCTTGTTGTTACCACTTACTTTGCCAGCTTTTGTTGCCCTGTCCCAACTTTGAAATTTGTTGCTGGTATCAATTTCAAAATTGACCTGCCTGGAATTTAAATTTTCTCCCTGTGCTTGTGTGGGTTTCCTCCAGGTACTCCGGTTTCCTCCTACACTCCAGACATGCTGGTAGGTTAATTGGCTCCTGTCTAAATTGGCCCTAGTATGTGTATGTATGAATGTGAGTTAGGGAGCTTAGATTGTATGCTTCTTGAGGATTAGGGATTGATGTGAATGCACAATATATATGTAAAGCACCGCATAAATTGACAGCACTATACAAGTACCTGTAATAAATTTGCAAATCATTGCATTCTGTTGTTACATAGATTTTACACAGCATCCTAACTTTTTTGGAAGTGGAATTGTAAACATTAGCTCTTAGGGTTATGATTAAGTGCTGAGGTTAGTGTGTAATACGCATGAACCTTTTTTTCCCCCCATTGGCATACAGTATTAAGGTGCGTTTCTATACAATAAAGTGGATAAGTGTTTTGGTGCGGCCTCCTGGACTTTCCTTTGATCTAAAACGTTAGCTCTTTTTTTAACTTAAAAGTTTGGTCTTGTACTTATATGTGAGCTGGTGAACTGGAAATGCCAGTATTGTCCCAATGAAGTTGAAAGAAAGACAAGGTGATTGTAACACAAGGTGGTCAGAGTATCTGATAAAGAAGCCATTCCTTTATCTAATTAGTGGTTGTGTTGTAAAATGTGATACTTCAAAGAAAGGATGAACAATTTCCAGCTGCTACCTGCTAATGTGCACTCACCTTCTGTATGAAGCTCTCCACTTTGTTCTGTAGACCCCACCATTTAAATTTGACAGTCACCAGCTTGTAACAACACATATGAGGAATGTCCTTCCGTTGTCCCAATATTTTCTACAACAATCAGTAAAACAAAAAAGTAAAGGATCAGTTTGTGACTAAAACTGATTGCAAGTCAGTAGCAAGAATGATGAATACTGGTGCCAGAGATGCCAATCATACTCTCTTCTCGCATGTAGTGGTTACACCTTTTTACTGCCACGGACGTAAAGGTTGTGTTGGGACCTAACTGCGTGCAACAGGCTTGAACCCATTCACAAGGCAAGTAAACATGGCAGCTCCTGTCTTCTTGCTTTCAGGCTTTGTGGACGTGATTTCTGATCATTTTTACAAGTATGAGGCCAGTGTCCCTGTGTAGCCCATTCCTGTGTTCCTATGCAGTTAGTGGTATGGTGATTTTCCTGCTTTAGGTCCCTGGCAGTACAGACCCCCCCCCCCCCCACTCTGCAAGCTCACTGATTCAGCAATCAGTGTGCTTAATGACAGCAACCACAAGTCATGTGGCCAGTGTGTCCCCTACTGTGTAGCCCCAGTTTGTCCCTACCCTGTCACCAGTAGTTTTAGGTTTCCTGTCAATCTTGTCACCTGCTTTTGTTGCGTTTGTATGTACTATTATGTACTATTAATGATTTTAGTGTATTCTTAATAAAAATATAGTTTGATAAACATTTGTGCAAATATTATGAAGTGTACAAAATTATAATTATAAATAACAGCCGACAAACCATTGTTGGCGTTAAAAGGTTTATTTCAACCCTCTATTGCACTGCTGAACAGCTTGGGCTGTTTAAGGGATTTGAAAAACAGACTTACAGAGTAAAAAAAAAAAAACAGACTGCTGTGTTAATGCTACTGACAGACTGTATCATACACGTAATTTTTTATTTTGACCATAATTAAACTGTAAACCGACACTGAACTGGTTTCTTGGCTTAGTGCATTTTTTTTACATTTCTAGTTTTCTGAAAGAACCTGCACTATTCAGAGTGTAAACCACTCTGTTGGCAAGAAAACAAAAAAAAAAAAAAAAAAAAAGTTAAATATATACATGAATAAAAAATAATAAATAATTAAAAAAAACAAACAGGAAAACTACAATTAAAGTGATTGTAAATCCTCGCCTTGTAAAACAACTCATTCAATTTAAAAAATAAATGAAAAGCAAAACATTTGTATATAGATATAAAAAAACCATTATGTACACCTTTTTTCTCCTTTTTGATCATATTCCCCTCCTCTGTTCTAAGCTGCATAGAGAGGTGAGGGTGGAGAAATAGCAGAACACTGACCTTCCCAGTGAAAGACTGCAGGGGAAGAGGGGGTGTCAGGACAAGACTGATCATTGGAGGAGAGCACACTGAGTTCCCTGCATAGCTAGAGAACTGACCGTGCTTTGCTCCCATGCCTAGTGTGGTCACTTTTTAATAGGAAAGCAGAAGGACTGGCAGGAACACCAGGGATTTCACAGAAAGGAAGCAATACGAAGAAAACAGGATACTTTTTCATACAAGTTCATGGTATAGCAGGCACATATCAGGAATAGGAAATGTTTGGTTTACATACTCTTCAAGTATTTGTAGTATACAGTAGCATACAGGTGTGGAAATGTTTTGAAAAAAAACTACTTGTCTGGGGACTAAATCAGTGTCCCAGTCTACTTGTCCCTCATGACAATCTACTTGTCCAGATAAAAAAAAAAAAAAATTAACCAAATCAGAGGTGATTTTAGGACTATTTTTTAAAAAAAAAAAGGTTTTATGGCGACTTAAATGTGAAACATTTTTAACATTGCGCTGTTTATCTCCTCCTCACCTACCCCTGTCTCCAGCATTGCACCCAGGGACTAGCAGGAAAGGGAGAGACCTTGCAGTGTAATGAGCACTTGATTGGCTGCTTCGTCAGGAAAGGGGAGTGTCTTAAAGGCTTATCCTTCATCCCTTTCGTTGCCAGAGCAGTTTTTGCATTTTTTGCACAAGATTAAAAAAAATAATTTTAGGCCTGAAGATTACATAAAAACCTCCAAACATGATATATTTTCTGAAATCCCTGTTTGACTCCCGTAATACGGGGTCAAACAGGTGGCCCTACAGCTGCTGTCAAACTAAAAGTCCCATGAGGCATTGCAAGATTGACAGTTACAAGCATGACTCCAAAAGGCGGAGGCATGATGGGACTTGTAGTTTTGCAACAGCTGGAGGGCCGCCAGTTTGACACCCTGCTCTAGAGAATAAAATAGTGGTAGTTCCAATTTTTTAGGTCACATGATATTACCGCAAAGTTTCAGTAAGAATACAAGTTAGTTCATTTTAGGGTGCAAAAGCAATACCCTATTTTTTTGTAAAATATAAAAGATGAGGTTGCAGCGAGTAAATCGATATCCAAAATGTCAAACCTTAAATTTGCGTGCGCTTATAAAATGGCTACAAACATCAGTACCCTATATTTTCTATAGGTGACACTTTTAAAGCCCCTTCCAGGTCATCAGTATAGTGTTAAGGAGGAGCTCTGATGCTAGAATTATTGCTCTCATCCTAGCATGCACGGTGATATGTAACATGTGTATCGCAATCAATGTTTTCATGCGTAGGTGCCCCAGCGTGTGCTTTTACGTTTGTACATTGGTATATATACGGGGGTGGGGAATGTTATGTGCTTGGGTGTAACTTTAATTTTTTTACAATTAAAAAAAAAAAACAAAACAAAAAAAACAAAAAAAAAGGTGTTTTTTTTTCTTTAATTTTTTTTTTTCATCACTTAAGGGACAATGTCCCCTATGTGATCATTTTTGGTGACAGGTTCTCTTTGAGACATACAAGGTCTAAAAGACCCTGGATGTTTCCCCTGTACTACACTGAATGTAATGCAGTGCACATTGCACTGCATTACATTATCTCTCTCATTACATTCTCTCAACTGGAATTCGGAAGTGACATCATAATGTCACTTCCGGGTCAGGACAAGAAGGGGAGGGTAGTGAGGTGTCTGCTCTCCTCCCTCCACTCTAGCTGATGGTGGTGAGCGGTCCTGGGCCCGCAGATGGGCAAAACGGAGCCTGGGAGATAGTGGGGGGGGGGGGGGGGGAGGTTCACACATGGGGTGGAGAAGCTGGCCTGTGTGGAAGCAATCGGCAGCAGCGCTGTCACCCAAATGCTTCCCTTCCACCTGACAGTTGAGTCCTGCTGCTTGCCCGCAGCAGGGCTGAAGGTTTAAGAAAAATACCTGCACGGCACTACATGTCCTGGGCATTGGGCGATATGAATTCAACATCCCTGAGCATATCTCAAACAAACATCCACGGCAAAATAGCACCTAATGAACAGCTTGCACTGGTCTCCAAAGCTCCATCTGCACCATGGATCTTTGTTACTGTATGATGTGTTATGATCTTACTATAAGAAAATAGACATATAATTACCTTCCAATCTGGAGATAGTGGTCCTCGACCAGTCTTGATAGACTTAAATTTTGCTGGATCCTCTTCTGGTTTATAATCCTGAAATGAATTTGATCAATAAATGCATTAATGAGAACAGGCATGTAAATTCAGTTTCCAACAATATTTTCAAAGCAAATGTCACTTGCGGAAAAATATGTTCTCCTTGAAGATTTACAAAAACATAAACGTGCTTTTTTAACATTCTGAAATGTGTAACTAGAACAATAAAATGCAAAGTAAAAAAGAACAAGTTTTAATTTTTAAAGGGCAGTCCTCATTTCAAGCAGTTATGTACAGGAAACAAGTTGTTGCAGTGTACACCGTCATGGTAGACTATATGTGCCTATATATCATGGGTGCCAAACCTGTGGCCCTCCATGTTTTTCAGAACTACAAGTCCCATCATGCCTCTGCCTTTGGGAGTCATGCTTGTAACGGTCAGCCTTGCATTGCCTCATGGAACTTGTAGATCCGCAACAGCTGGAGCGCCATAGGTTGAGCACCCATGCCATAGACAGTGGATGACATTCTTCAATCTAGTTGAAATTACATCTATTGGCTCCCTTCAAATGAAACTGACTGAGGTTCATCTATGGCTGGATGGGTGAAAAACATTTATGATTTGTCCGATCACTATTGTTTTTTCTAATAGGTGGGCACCGGAGGTGACTACAGCACCTCCCTAGTCTTGCTTCATAAACCTAAACACAAACAGTCACCATACATGCCCCTTCACTTCAGAGAAATGCTGGCCAGCACAGTTGTTAGAAGGGCAGCCTTAGTCAGTAAATGAAGTTATAGTGCCACTACATTTGGACACCCAATCATTTTGGGTTCAAATGCAGATTGAACACAGCAAGGGATATCAAGCAGGGTTCACTTTTAACTGAGTAAATGAGAACCTGCCTTTGAAGTAGAACTGCAGGGCTCTTGTGTATGCTTTAACATCTGACCACAAATGAGCTCCTGCTACAGACTCCTCCATACAATACATTAAAGTCCTATTGTTTAGCTAAGATCAGAACTTCGTTTGGGTAGCATGAAATATAACTGCAGAAAAAAAGGTCCTGCTTTTGGTTAGGGGCACCATGTGCAACTGCATTCCTCTATGTGGCATCACAGAAGAATATAAAGCAATTTCAAAAGTAATTTTTTACACCTATGCAAAAAGGCCAAAGGAAGATGCCATTTCCTGAAGCCTGGCATGCAATGTAAATCCAGGACATTTAAGATGAACCTACTAACTGCACAAAAAAAACTATGAAAACATTACATAGTAGGTGAAGCTCTATTACTAACTGCACAATTCATTTTTTTTATCTACTAACTGCACAACAACTGACACAAAAATAGTATGCAGTCTGTAAACAAGAAATGACTGCTTCCATCTGAGCATTCCCACACAGACAACCCTTTCAATACACTATTTTTATTTCTATATAATTTGCTCCAATTATTCCCATATCCTATAACCAATATCATGGTGGGTGTGAAAGTGTATCATTCAAGTTCACTGCAAGTTTAGATAAGAAAAGCACAGGCAGAAAAAAAGTAAAAGACTGCACAACATTCAGTAAGAGATTAAGCTAGCCAAGTTAGAAAGTTAGATTTCTGTTTCAATCCCAGCCATTTTGAAACCATTTTTGTAACCATTTTGAAAATATACAGTGAAACCACATAATATACCAACCTTAGAGAGAACCTGACTTCGATCTGCAATATCAATTTGTACTACTTCCACATTTTTTTCCATGCATCTTGCTCTAACTTATGAACCTGCAGAGAGAAAGGGAGCATTTAAACATGTAACATGCAGAACAATTGTAGTGAAAGTATGAAGGAAATGCTAAAAAAAAAAAAAAAAAAAAAAAAAAAACCCCTTTAAAATGTTGCCTCCTCATTACCTGGATACATTTTCACATAAATCGCAAGGTAAATACCTTTATCAATGTTTTTCTGAGTAGTTACACGACTAAAGCTCCTCTTTGCAGCATATTTATAGACCCTGAATCATAGGCTGCTGCCTTCAGGTGATTGGACACTGGCAAAACCGTTGGACAGACATTAGGTCTTGAAATGAGTTGTCTTATCCATCTGGCAATAGTGGACTTGGAAGCAGGATGTCCTTTCAAAGACCCTGGTGGCATAACAAGACTCCATTTTTTTGGTTTAGAAGCCATGGCTTTTAGATAGGTTCTGATAGTTCTAAATACGTTCAAACAATGGAGAGCCATTTCTTCAAGGTGCTTCAGAGTGCAGGACACAAGAAAGGAAGGACAATTTCTTAATTAAGTTAGAAGGCCAACAACATCTTAGGTAGATAGGAGGGTCATGGATGTAAGACTACTATATCCTTTTGAAGAATTAGGAAGGGCTCCTTACAAGAGATACGTTAACTCAAACACAGACATGACAGTCATGATAGTCTGTAATGTGGATTTGATTTGTGGATTTGATCAGTGAGACACCTTAAATGAAGATTTTAGCAAGTGAAAGTGAAGCAAAAGGTCTTTGTAACAGAATGGACAAGGCCGAAACATTTCCCTTAAGAGTACTTAGAGCCAAGCTTTGGTCAAGTCCCAACTTTTGGGTAATGTGGAAATGACAGTCACCTATACCCCTCTTCTTTAAGACCTGGATTTCAAAAGCTATGTAATTAAAACGAATGACTGAAAATCAAGGATCGAGCAGGGGACTTAAGTCAGCAGGTCTGGCCTGTTTGGAAGAGGCTAGGGGAAGTCTCCCAGAAGTTTGCAATATGTCTGTGCACCAGGTACTTCTGGGCAAATTTTGTTCGGGTCACCAATTTTTTCCTCTGTCTCTATATTGCAAAGAAAAAATCCACATTGGAGGGAAGGCAGATGTAAACCTGAGTCCATGTCATAAGTTCATGGAATTACCAAAGACTCTGATGCCAGCACTAAAGGACCTTTGGTCCTGGGCACAAAAAGGGTAACTTGTTGAATCTGGAGGCCAGGATGTTCACATTTGGAATCTGTCATTTCTGACACAGGAGGTTAAAGATGTCAGGATGAAGGGCCATTGCCCTTGATCTAAGCGGTGGTGGATCGCAGGTGAAATGTCAGGCTCCTGCCCACTCGCCCTCCAGCTTTCTGCCCATACCTCCGTACGGGATTTCAATTAAAGAGCTGGAGGAAGAGTGAATGGACTACGAGCGCACTGATCAGTGTACTCGTAGTTTATTGAGAACTACAAGTCCATCTGCCGTGGTGGCAGATGGGATTTGTAAATTTTTCACAGATCCCTGCAATACTGCAGGAGGGGGTGGTTATCTCTAGGCTGTGTATGACCTTCTATTAACTTAGAGCAGGGGTCTCCAACACTCTAAACAAAGGGCCAGTTTACTGGCTTTTAGACTTTAGGGGGGCCGGACTGTGGCCATTGAGAGAAGAAATTGTCCTGCATCATTTGGAGTGAACAATGCATCTTCTATTAGGGGAGGAATAGCGCCCTATTCTTGGTTTAAGTTGGAGAAATAGTGTCAGTGGGAAGAATAGTTGTTGGTGTCAGTGGGAAGAATAGTGCCCCATCGTTGGTGTCAGTGGGAAGAATAGTGCCCCATCATGGGTGTCAGTGGGAGGAATAGTGCCCCATTGTTGGTGTCAGTGGGAAGAATAGTGCCCCATCGTTGGTGTCAATGGGAAGAATAGTGCCCCATAGTTTGTTTCAATGACTATTGTTGATGTCAGTAGCAGGAATTATGCCCCTTTGTTGGTGTCAGGGGGAGAAATAGTGTTTGTATCAGGGCAAGCAAAGGGCCACATCTGGCCCCCGGGCTGTAGTTTGGAGACCACTGACTTAGAGGTTCATCTCTGGAGGTGAAAGCACATCCACTATTATTGGCTTTGATTGTGGGATTGAGCACAAGAAGGAGTGGAATTTGGATTGGAGTGTCAAACAGTTGACTGCAAATTGGAGACTGGACTGGCACAGTTTGTGAACATTTTTCAGTTTTTAGACTTTTTACACATTGTCATTAGATTGGT